GACACCAGCTGACCTATCCTGGAACACTGCAGCAAAACGGCATTGCCGAGAGTGCCAACCGGACCATTGGCGAGGCGGCCAAGACCTTGTTGGGGACTGCTGGGATGCCCTACAAGTTCTGGCCTGATGCTGTCCGCCATGCCATTACAGTCAAATAACAGTGTTTTTACACATGTTGGCGAGAAGCACTGGGTGTAGTCGTTGGCTCACCAAGAAGCCAACTATTGACATGCTTCGTGTATGGGGCTGCATGGGTCTTGTGATGGTGCACAAGCTGGATGTTGCAGCTGTGTGGGCTGTCCATCTTGGGATGGCACCTGACTCGAAGGGGTGGCTGATGTGGGACCCCATGAACAAAAAGACGTTGGTCAGTCGTGATGTCAAATTTGTTGAGGATGTCGTGTACAACTGGCAATAGCAGCAGCAAGTGCAGATCGGCCTGCGTGCCAACCGGACCATTGGCGAGGCGGCTAAGACCTTGTTGGGGGCTGCTGGGATGCCCTACAAGTTCTGGCCTGATACCGTTCGCCATGGCATCACGGTCAAGAAGGATTGAGCTGTCAAGGTTTTAAAGCTGAGGGCAGCAACCCGATGACAACTACGAAACCTGTTTGCTCTAAAAAGTCACCCGTTTCCCCTTCAATAGCGTGGTTGGCAGGAGAAAGAAGCCATTGGAGTTGGTCCACGTGGACTTGGTGGGGCCGCTGCCGGTTCACGACTGTGGATGATTTGAGCAGTCTCGTATGATTATACCCGTTGAAGCAGAAGGACCACGCTGCCTCTACAGTGCGATGGCTGCCGTTTGTGGAGAAGCAGGCGGAGTGTGTGCTGAACGGATTAGGACAGACCGGGGTGGTGGGTTCCTTGGATCTAAGATGACGGCCTGGCCACGACATACACCCCACAGTCCAACGGTATAGAATCTGGTTTGGGGAACTCCATGTGGCCTTATGCTGTCCGGCACGCTACCATGGCTAGGAACAGGGTGCTCATCAAGGTTGGTGATGATTCCTGGGTGCGGTTGGAGAGGTGGCTTGGGAGGAAGCCGCCGGTGGATATGCTGAGGGTGTTCGGTTGTGTTGGGTGAAAATTCACATTGGACGACATCCTGCCGTCTGTTTGTATGAGTATGCGTGTGCGAATATATTTGCGTACAAACAAAGAAGGAATAAATAGTTCTAGCTAGCAAGGAACTTGTGAATCAACCTGGGAACAACCAGGGATGATCCCAAATAATTCCAAGCAACAGATCCAACATGGCTGGTCAAAACAGCAGGTGGTAGGTTGGTAAACAACCTCTGGTTCTGTTTTTCCAACCTGGGAAAACAACAACCAGGTTCAGGTCCTAAAACAGAACCTGATCTGTCTTTGCCCAACCAGCCAAATGCTGGTTCCGCTGGTTTCCCCTGGCCTTGTAGCATGGAGATACAGACAAATAACATCCAACCTTCACCTTATTGTACCCCTATAGTGCCTTCCCTGCTACACTATAGTCAACCAAACAAAACAGTACAATTTCGAGTTGGATAGAACTGAATCTGCGCAATCAATTCAACCGAACCGCAAAGATTCCATCTTGGGTTCCCTTGCGAGCTCCTCCTTCCTGCTTGCATTGTTCATAGTGCGTAAAATTTTGTGCTAAAGCGTACATTGTGCGAGTACCTCCAAATGCAACAAGCAAAAAATGCAAAAGTAAACAAACACACCCACATTCCATTTACACCCAAATGCATTCGCATAGACATACTCGTACAAACAGATGGCAAGATGTCGTGCAATGTGAATTTGCACCCAACACATTCCCCCTCAGCCTGCCAGCTGCATCCCCATCAATCCATGCTAGTTTATGCTCATTTCACTTATGCCCATACTACGCCAATGAGGCTCATCCGCAAGCCTCTTTGTGAGGAAGTCTGCTGGCTGCTGGTGAGTCTTGATGTAGATCGGATTCATTGTCCCCCTCTGCACCTCCTTACGGAGCCAGTGCCACTTGTTCAGCCCATGAAGCATAGCGCTCCTGGCCATCCCAAAAGATCCCTTTATATCACAAAACAGCGGCATTGCAACCTTCTGCTCCTGGCCAATCTCCTGTAACAGCCTCCTTAGCCAAATCACCTCCTTTACTCCGTGAAACATTGCCAAAAACTCTGAGGAAAGGGCTGTCTCCGTCTGATTCTTGGACCTCCAACTAACAGGTTCTCCACCAACTACGCAGATGTATCCTCCCACATATGAGGAATCCTCCTTCTCAGAGGCCCACGTAGCATCGGTAAAGCAAGTGAGAAACAGCTTGCCTTCTCTAAGCCACTCCCCCTTCTCTTTCAGCACCTCAATCCCTTTCTGCTTCGCCTGTGCAGATGCAGAGTATTGAACTCCAATGCTAGGGTGAGAGTTCAGGTACTTTGCCACACGTTCAGCTGCATCCACCTGCTCCTCCGATCGATTCTGCACCACCCTTGCCAGCTGCCCAACAGAGAAAGTCCTGATTCTCCTTCTGCATAAATCCCTTAGCCACCAGTCTATTCTTGTCGATGGTGACCTGTCCCTTGTAATTGGTCTTATTCCTTAGCACCCACTTGCACTGTACGGCTTTCTTTCATTCGAGCAGCACCACCATATCCCATGTCCCATTCTCTAGCAGGCTCTGGTACTCAGCATCCCTGGAAACCGGCCACTTCTCCCTATCTGGTCCAACTAATGCCTCCTCCATGCTAGCTAGTTTCTCTGGTGCAGGGGAAAGAAAACAGTAGGCAGGTTCATCCTCCCCATCCGGGTCATATCCATCCGAATCAGCAACGCCTCCTCATTCCCAAGCTGCTGCTCCGCTACATCAGCTCCTGCAGTCAGCTTCATAGTGGTCATACAGGTACATCCTGGACTAGAAACGGGTGTCTCCTATCCCTTCATAACGACACCCTTCAGCTTCCTCCTTTGTGGCAGCTTAGGCAGCTTAGCTTTGCCCTGCTGTTGTTCTCCCTTACATCCAGCAGCTTCCCTGGTGCTACCACTAGTCTCCGCATCATCTCCTCTACCAGCAGGTGCCCTCTCCATCACCACCCTCTGCAGCTGCCGCCTCTCCCTCCTTCCACACACCAGTAGTCAGTTCCAGCTGCATGGTGATCTGCTCTATCTGCTGGGACACCCTGGCCTCCGGCTGTTTCTCCCAGCTCCCATACATCATGCCCTCAACAAGCTGCACATCCCTGCTTTCAAGCAACACACCTTTGGATGTTTCCCACAGCAGCCATCCCTTGCTCTCAGCAGCCAGCCCCAAATGTACACACCAGATTGCACTTGCCCCCAAATTACTGCGGTAGGTCTTGAGGACGTGGGTGACATGCAACCGAACACCCTCAGCATCTCCACCGGCGGCTTCCTCCCAAGCCACCTCTCAAACGGCACCCACGATTCATCCCCAACCTTGATGAGCACCCTGTTCCTAGCGACGGTAGCGTGCCGAACAGCATGGGGCCACATTGAGTTGCCCAGCCCAGATTCTATGCATGTGTGTTCCCATGTGTGTCTTCTCATGTGTGCGTGCATGTGTGTTAACATGTAAGCGTGCATGTGTGCTCCCATGTGAGCGTGCATGTGTGTTACCATGTGTGCGTGCATGTGTGTTACCATGTGTGCATGTGTGTTCCCATGTGTGCGTGCATGTATGTTACCATGAGTGCATGTGTGCGTGCATGTGTGTTACCATGTGTGCATGTGTGTTCCCATGCATGCGTGCATGTGTGTTCCAATGTGTGTCCGTGCGTGCCCCCCACCCACTGCGCATGCAGTTTGGCATCGAGTCAGAGGCAGAGATGGCAACAGGCAGCATGCGGCAAGCAGCGCACCGCAACGGCCGCAAGGACAATGCCGTGCGCGATTGGAATGCCCTAGCTGTCTCCAGCATTGTTCAGTTCGCCCGTTCTGCTACACCATTGGAATGTGGGGTGTAAGCCATGGTCAGCGCTCTTTGGATGCCCTGCTTCTTGAGCCACGCCATCATCTCAGCTCCAAGGAACTCAGCACCCCAGTCTGTCCTAATCCGCTTCACCATACACTTCGCTTGCTTTCTCCATCTGCTTCAACAAGGGCATTGCCACATGCCCCAAGCGTCGGTGTGCCGTTGCCCAATCCGTCTCCCCAGATCTGGCCGACACTTTCACACCAACCCCTCCAATGGCGTTGCACTCCCCCTGGGATGCAGACCCATCTCCAGCCTGCCTCCCACCGTGCCACGCCAACGCCGGCAGCTGCCACATGGATGTGCACACGTCCTTGCTCTCGTACAGATTCCAAAGCATCCGATTGCCCAGCTGCCCCTTGTACGTGCGAGCCCCATCCATGCTAATGCTCACCCCAGCCTTGGCAAGCTTACGGAGGGAGATGAAGTTGGCCGTGAGATCAGGAACGAGGAGAACGTTGTGCAGCACCACCGGCTTGCCATCCGCTCCCTTAAACGCAGCTCGTCCCGTACCAGCCACCTTCAACGCGTGTCCAGAGGCAGAGCACACCTCGTTGATGGTGCAGTGCGTACGTCGTCCAACAGGTCCTTGCGCGGCGTCATCGTCCAACCAGCGCCCATGTCCAACTCCCAATAGTCCAGGGGGTGCAGCTCTGCTCTAATCTTGGCAAATGCGTCTCCTTGCTCCCCACGCTCTCCAATATGGAAGAACTAGCCCGCGGTGCGCTCCTTCTTCTTCTCTGCACCGCCGTTGCTCTTTGGGTTGTTGTCGGACGAATCAGCGATCATGTTCACACCGTTTTTCTGGTTCCTCCGCGCACCGCCATCCTGGTGCCGATTCTGGGGGGTCCATCCATCGAGTTTCTTATAGCACAAAAACCAGGGGTGCCCCTCCTCACAATACCAGCAACTCCCTTTCATTTTGCCACCTGCACCCGACTAGCCCCCACATCCAGATTCCGCACCATGACCCCAACCGGTACCTCCTTGTTGGTCATTGGAGACACCTAGAGCGTTGCTGATAGAATCTGGGATAGGCAACTTGATGTGGCCCCATGCTGTCCCGCACGCTACCGTGGCTAGGAGCAGGGTGCTCACTAAGGTTGGTGATGACTCGTGGGTGCCGTTGGAGAGGTGGCTTGGGAGGAAGCTGCCAGTGGACATGCTGAGGGTGTTCGGTTGCATGGCAGTCGCCCACGTCCCCAAGACCTACCGCAGTAAGTTGGGGGCAAGTGCAATCTGGTGTGTACATTTGGGGCTGGCTGTTGAGAGCAAGGGATGGCTGATGTGGGAACCTTCCAAGGGTGTGCTGTTTGACAGCAGGGATGTGAAGTTTGTTGAGGGCATGATGTATGGGAGCTGGGAGAAACAGCTAGAGGCCAGGGTGTCCCAGCAGATGGAGCAGATCACCATGCAGCTGGACCTGACTCCTAGTGTGTGGGAGGAGGGAGAGGAGGCAACTGCAGAGGGTGGTGATGGAGAGAAGGTGCAGGAGGCACCTGCTGGTGGAAGAAATGGTGTGGAGACTGGCGGTAGCACTAATGAAGCTGCTGGATCCGAGGAAGGGAAGCAGCAGCAGGGGAAAACTAAGAAGCCGAAGGGTGTCGTTATGAAGGGATTGAAGACACCCGTCTCCAGGCCAGGATGTACCCGTATGGCTACTAAGAAGCTGACTGCAGGATCAGGTGTAGCGGAGCAGCAGTTTGGGACCGAGGAGGCATTGCTGATTCTACCGCATGGCTGTGACCTAGATGAAGAGGATGAACCTGCCTACTGTTTTCTTGCCCCTGCACCAAAGGAACCAGCTAGCATGGAGGAGGCATTAGCTGGACCAGATAGGGAGAAGTGGCTGGTTTCTACGGATGCTGAGTACCAGAGCCTGCTAGAGAATGGGACATGGGAGCTGATGGTGCTGCCCAGTGGGAAGAAAGCCGTACAGTGCAAGTGGGTGCTAAGGATCAAGACCGATGACAAGGGACAGGTCACCATCTACAAGAGTAGGTTGTGGCTAAGCGGTTTATGCAGAAGGAGAATCAGGACTTCAATGATATTTTTGCTCCCACTGCCAAACCCCCTACCCTCCGCGTCTTGTTGGTAGATGCAGCCGTTAGTGGGAAATTCATCATTCAGATGGATATATCAACGGCATTTCTCAATGGGATTTTAGAGGAGGATGTGTACGTGACGCAGCCGCCTGGGTATGAGGATGGTACAGGCAGGGTATGCAAGCTGAAAAAGTCCATCTACGGCTTGAAGCAGGCGCCACGCTGCTGGTACCAGAAGTTGGCAGCTGTTTTAGAGGAGATGGGATTGAGGACCAGCAGCTGTGATGAGAGCCTCTTTCTCAAGGGAGAGGGGGAGAAGCTGGTGCTGTTTCTGGTTTACGCGGACGACATTTTTCTCTTTAGTAGCAGCATGAAGGAGATCGAGAATGTGCAGCAGCAGCTGATGGAGAAATTCAAGTGCAAAAACCTTGGGGAGGTGAAGTACTACCTCGGGATGCACGTGGAGAGGGATCCAGATCACAGGTGGTTGAAGCTGCACCAGGAGAAGTTCATCATGCAAATGGGAGAGAAGTATGGGATTGAGAATGAGAGCAAGGTTGCAACTCCTCTGCCAGCAGAATTCAAGCTTGTAAAGGCTGCAGAGGATGAAGGGGTTGAATCCGAGGAGCAGCAGCAATTTCAGTCCTTGGTGGGCAGCCTCTTATATGCAGCAGTTCATACGAGGCCCGACATCTCTTTCTCGGTTGGGCAGCTGGCTAGGGTGGTCCAGAATCCATCAGAGGAGCAGATGGATGCAGCTGAGCGTGTGGTGAAGTATCTGAACTCTCACCCAAGCATTGGAGTTCAATACCCCGCATCTGCATATGTGAAGCAGAAAGGGGTTGAGGTGCTGAAAGAGAAGGGGGAGAGGCCTGGAGAAGGCAAACTCTATCTCGCTTGCTTTACCGATGCTACGTGGGCCTCTGAGAAGGAGGATTCCTCATCTGTGGGAGGATACATCTCTGTAGTTGGGGGAGGACCTGTTAGTTGGAGGTCAAAGAAGCAGACGGAGACGGCACTCTCTTCAGTGGAATCAGAGAGCATGCTGCTGTTCCATGGGGTGAAGGAGGTGATTTGGCTAAGGAGGCTGTTAGAGGAGATTGGCCAGGAGCACAAAATTGCTACACCGCTGTTTTGTGATAGCAAGGGGGCTCTTGGTTAGGCCAGGAACGCTGTGCTTTATGCGCTGAATAAGCACATGCGTATCAAGTGGCACTGGCTGCGTAAGGAGGTAAAGAGGGGGACGGTAAATCCGATCTATATTAAGACTCACCAGCTGCCAGTAGACTTCCTCACCAAGAGGCTTGCGGATGAGCCTCATTGGCGTTGTGTGCGCATGAGTGGAATGAGCATAAACTAGGTTGGAATGATGGGGATACATCCGGCAGGCTGAGGGGGAGTGTGTTGGGTGCAAATTCACATTGCACAGCATCCTGCTATCTGTTTGTACGAGTATGCGTGTGCGAATGCATGTGGGTGCAGATGGAATGTTCGTGTGCTTGTTTGCTTTCGTGATTTTAGCTTGATGCATTTCCAGGTACTCGCGCAATGTGCGCTTCGGCACAACATTGTACGCGTTATGAACAGTGCAAGCAGAAAGGACGAGCTCGCAAAGGAACTCAAGATGGAAGCTTTGCGGTTCGGTTGAATTGATTGCGCAGATTCAGTTGTATCCAACTCGGAATTGTACTGTTTTGTTTGGTTGACTATAGTGTAGCAGGGCAGGCACTATAGAGGTACAATTTAGGTGAAGGTTGGATGTTGTTTGTCTGTATCTGCATACTACAGGGCCACGGGAAACCAGCGGAACCATCATTTGGCTGGTTGGGCAAAGACAAATCAGGTTCTGTTTTTAGGACCTGAACCTGGTTGTTGTTTTCCCAGGTTGGAAAAACAGAACCAGAGGTTGTTTACCAACCTACCACCTGCTGTTTTGTCCACCCAGGTTGGTTCTGTTGCTTGGAATTATTTGGGATCATCCCTGGTTGTTCCCAGGTTGATTCACAAGGTCCTTGCTAGCTAGAGCTTTTTATTCCTTCTCTATTTGTATCTGAACATAGTCAATTTGATTCGAGCGAATTCCTCCCTTCCTGGAATTTCGTTTCTACGTGGTACGACGGCGGAATGCTACCCGAATCAATGCTAGTATGCTAGCACTCTGTTGCTAGGCAAACGCTGGCCGAGCCATAACTTCGTAATAGCAGCACTTTTTGCGAGGCAACTTGGTTCATTTTAAAGCTCTTGAAGTGAGCTTCGAAATAGGAAATTTTAGCTTAATCCGATCGATGGTCTGTTCGATACACTGCGCGACGTTCAAGGTGCTCTTGCTATTTTGGCTAAATCATTCTTGACTCCTTTCTTTACAAACTCGGACCCGAGGATATGGGCTGGTCTTGTACCAGGCACCCAAGGACCTTTGGAGGTGACCCAAAGGAGAGGTTTTGAGTTTGATTAAGTCTTAGTAGCTTGAGTTTATTAGGCCCTTACACCAACAGCACCATCTCTTGCAACCACCTGATCATTCCGACCCTTCCTCACTAGGCTGCTTCCCTCGCACGTCCTCGAATTTTACAAATGTACAAGAGGCTAGACCTCTCTCCCTCAAGCCTCTGTCGTAGAATAGCAGTGATCACTTCGGTTTTCTGACAATAATTTCGCACTGGGTAAGAAACAAACGTACTCTTAGAATCAACCATATGGATAAGTAATGCACTTACTCTTGGTACCAACCATATAGATAAGTAACGCGCCTACTCTTGGTACGAACGTTATAGGTAAATAATGCACTTACTAATATTACCAACCATATGAGTAAGTAACGCACTTACACTTAGTACTAACCATATGGGACACGTAACGCACTTAATTTTTGTACCAACCGTATGGGTAAATAATGCACTTTTCTTAGTACTGACCATATGGGGTAAGTAATACACTTATTTGTGGAACCAACCATATGGATAAGTAGCGCACCAACCATATGGGTAAGTTATGCCCATACCCTTAGTACCAACTGTACGCACTTATCCTTGGTACCAACCGTTTGGGTACGTATGCACTTACGTTTGGTACCAACCATATGGCTAAGTAGCGCACTTATCCATGGTACCAACCATATGGCTAAGTAACGCACTTATTCTTGGTACCAACCATATGGATAAGTAACGCCCATACTCCTACTACCAACCAGATGGGTAAAAAACGCACTTACTCTTGGTACCAACCATATAGGTAGGAAATGCACTTAATCTTGGTACCAACCATATAGGAAAGAGACACACATACTCTTTGTCCCAACCATATAGGTATGTAACGCACTTACACTTGGTACCAACCATATGGATAAGTAACGCACCTACTCTTAGTATCAACCATGTGGGTAAGTAGTCTATTTATGTTTAGTAGCAACCGTAGGTAACTAGCGCACTTACTCTGAGAACCAACCATATGGGTAAGTTATGCACTTACTCTTAATACCAACCAAATTGGTAATTAACACACTTACTCGTATTACCAACCATATGGGGTAAGTAACGCACCTACTCTTGGTACCAATCATATGGTAGGAAACGCACTTACACTTAGTACCAACCATATGAATAGGTAACACACTTATACTTAGTACCAACCATATGAGTAAATAATGTACATACTCTTACTAAATATGGGTAACTAACGCACTTACACCTGATCTGCTTTCGGCAGCTCTAAGACCGCACCGTTCTTGATTGCCCCCATCAGGTCTTGCACAGCCTTCTCCTGCTCTGGGCCCCATTCCCATTTCGGGTCCTCCCGTAGCAGCTGATTCAATGCCGATGCCTGCCTGCTGAAGTTGCGGACGAAATTCCAGTACGTGTTCAAGAAGCCTAGCAGCGCTCGGTGGGTGCTGCTGTCTTTGGGCACCACCACCAGTCCAGCTCCCACCGAATGCCTGATGAATCCCAATCTTCACTCCTTCCACCTCGAATCCCAAGTACCCTACTGTCCACTGCCCAAACTTGCACTTTCCTGGGTGACACGACGGACATTTTTCCTGAATGGCCTTTTGCGCGGCCTCCACATCTTTCACGTGTAACTTGCTGTCCATGCTGAAAACAATCATATCATCTATTTTACATGCCGCGTTCGGCGCGTTACGTGGCACCTAATCCATCACCCGCTGGAACTCCGCCGATGCAAATCTCAAGCCAAACGGCATCATGTGCCATTCATACTGCCCATCTGGCCCGTGAAACGCAGTTGTATTCTTGTCCGTTCCTGCTATCAGTATATGATTGAACCCCTGTGGCAAATGTAGCGCAGTCAAGACCGTTGCATCTGCCAGCTGGTCGAATATCTCATCTGGCGTCTGTTGGAAGTGGACACTGGAATGGCCCGAAGTGGTCTCCCCAAGGGCTACAGGTGCCGTCCAGGGCTAAAGGCAATGTCCGGCCTCGTCGTCGTCGCCGCGAACTACAGCGAGCCGACTTTCTGCCGGTACTCCTCCTCCTGTTGCTCCTGTTGCTCCTGTGCCTCCTCGTCGTCGAAGGTGAGCTTGGCGTAGGCGTCGACCGAGACCGGAGTCTTCGGGGTGCGCCCGGTCTGCTCCTCGTCGATGAAGCGCCTACGTAGCTTGTCGGCGTAGTCCTGCTGGTGCAGCCACAGCTTCCCCGCCGACCTGTCGCGGACGATCTCCAGCCCGAGGTACTTCTGCACCGGCGAGATCTCACGCAGGTCGAAGGCAGACTCCAGCAGCTCCTTCAGCTCCTTCAGCATCGCGATGCTGCTGCTGGCGGCGAGCAGGTCGTCGACGTAGACCAGCACCCAGCAGGCCACTCCGTTGTCGCCGACCTTGAAGCACCTTGAGCCTCGTCGACCTGGCTCTTCTTCCACCCGGCGTCGACCAGCACGTTGTTGAGCGCCAAGTACCACAGCAGCGGCGACTGCTTCAGCCCGTACAGGCTCTTCAGCAGCTTGCATACCCGGCCGGTTCTGTCATTGAAGTAGTCCAGCCGGGACATGTAGAGCACCCAGTCGAGCTTGCTCTGCAGGAAGGCGTTCTTCATGTCGAGCTGCATCAGGTTGAGGTTGAGGACGGCGACGATGCTGAGGAAGATCCTCAGTGTGACGTAGCTGCCCACTGGCGCGAACGTCTCGTTGTAGTCAGCGCCGTACACATGCGTGAAGCCCTTCACGACCAGCCTCGCCTTCTCGCGCTCGACGGTGTCGTCAACATGGTACTTCGTCGTCAACACCCACCGGTTCTTTATGATGTTGACCCCCGGCGGGCGTTCGACCAGCTCCCAAGTGCCCATGTTGATGAGGCTGCGGATCTCCTCCTCCATGGCGGCCTTCACCGTCGAGCCCTTCCAGCTCGCCAAAGCCTCCTTCACCGTCATCATCAAGATGTCCCAACGGTGTTCGGGGTCGGCCAGCATGTCCGGGTCGAGCTCCGGAAACTTCTCCTCCTCCTCGGCGTCGTCGTACAGCAGGTCGTCGTCATCGTCCACGTCGTACACCGTGGTGAAGGCAGCGGGGACGAAGAAGTCCGGCGGCCTCCGAAGCCTATCCGACTTCCGGGGTTCAGGCCGGACCTCCACCACGTCACGCTTGGTGGAATCCCTGGCGTCCCCTCCTTCGTCACCGTCTTCACTGCCCTCGTCATCCTGCTGCACCTCGGTCGACTTCCTGGTCGACCTCTCCCCTGTGGTCGGCATCCCTGCCGACTGCCTGGTTGCCGACTGCTCCGTGGTCGGCTTCACTGCTGCCTGCTCCCCTGTCCGCTGCTGTTCCTCGACCTGCTCCTCCCCTATCGACATCGGCTTCAATCCCACGTCGACTTGCCGCTCGTCACGTCGGCCACCGGCGATGCCCTTGGTCGGCGCGGAAAGCGACGGCTTACTGCTCCCCTCATCGCCGGAGGCCGACACCGAGGTCAGCCCGCAGAGGTCGGCCAAGAGCGGAGGGGCAGGAGTCGTAGAGGGAGGGGAAGGAGGGCGGACGTCCTCGACGTCCTTAGCAGCAAGCTCACCGACCTCGGCGAGCAGTGGCAGCGTCGCCGGCGAGGTATCGGTCGGTGGGGTGGTCGGCGTCCGACCTGACACCGGCCCGTGCTCCGACTTCCACACCTCCAGCGACATATCCTCGTAGAACACCACGTCCGACGTGGTGACCACCCGGTTG